ACTTATCAACAAGGTTAAGATTGATAATATGAAGGTACATACGGCATCTTTGACGGCTGAAGCCTAGCGCGGGGCAGCTCCAGCCGCGCTATACGTCAATGACATTGCCCCACCACCGACGTCAACCAAGGGAGACGCGATGAATTCTCGCCAACCAAGAGGCCGATAATCAAAGCTGCCCGACACATAGCTCAACGCCCCCACGCACAAAAGGCTACTCCAAACAACATCGCAACTATAGGAAATTTTTACTTACTCGCTGTTTACACCTCCCTCAACCCCTAAAACAGCCGAGGTCGCCTGCCATGCCACCCAAAAGCGGTTTCTCGCGCACGCGCAACGTCGATTATGATGATGATGACTTCTACGACGACGACTATTACGAGGAAGAAGGCGATGATGGCGGCGCAGGAGACGGCATGTCGGAAGAAGACAAAGAGCAGATGCGCGTCGGCACAATACGGGTGCGTGAAGCCATGGGAGACATGAGCGACTTCACAAGCGACGAGCAAATACAAGAAGCTCTATGGCACTACTACTACGATGTGGGAAAGAGTGTGAGCTACTTGAAAAACAAATTGGGAATTGCAGAGCCCAAGAAGGAGGCTCCGAAACAAGAAAAGGCTAAACCAGCATCGCGGTTCGACCAGGCTGCAAGCGTTGCTCACCAGAATGCGCCCGCATCTACAGGTAAGCAAACTCACATGAGGTCTAGCTATGGACACCAGCCCGCTCGTCTTGTTGCCCATTACCTACTGCTGCCCCCACTGTCGATGCCTACCAACGCTGCTGTCACAGACTTCTTCTGGGATGTGCCTTGGGGCAATGTGCCACCCGAGCGACTAGCAAATATCACCATTGAAGCCCCAGAGTACAAGGGGGGATTACTCGGGGGCTCTTCAAAGCTAGCTGCGCTCGCGGCTAAGCGCAGGAAGGAGCGAGAAGAAGCCGAAGCTGCTGCCTCCAAAGCCAATAGCGATGCGGACTCGGCTGTTGCGATGCTCGATAAGCTTTCGGTCAAGAATCAGGAAAACGTCAACCCTTTGCATGACGCAGCTGCAAGTCGCCCAGCTCGAGTATCCAAATACCCTGTTCGAAGACGATCGCCTTCTCCAGCACCAGAAACACCAAAGGAGCCCGAGATTGAAGAGCCTCAGCTCCCTCAACCGGCCATTGTCGTCGAGTCTCCAGCTCAGCGTGCTGTCGCTTCCATGTTTGCTTCAACTCTCTGTGGTTCCGACAAGTCGTCAAAGCAGCCGCAGCTCCAAGTCCAAGAGCTTCCCGTGCCATTTGCTGCCTACAGGTCATTTGATGGTACAAAAGTCTTCTCGGAACCAAGTCCGGACGATATCGTGCGGGCAGCACAGGCAAAGAGCGCAGGGGGCGGGCGTCACTAGACTGTCACGTGTCCTCTATATATGCATATCTAAGACTACCAGGAACCACACCGAAGAAGAAAAAGAAGCAGACTAATGGCGATCTTACTGAGTCGGTCGAGAAGCTCTCTGTTGCCGATGAGCCAAAGGTTAAGAGCAAGAACTTGAATGTTGTGGATGAATTTGAGAAGAGCAACATGAAACGACTTGCAAATTTTGTAGTTGTTGGTAAGCTCAGTCCTGGCCCAAGTGTCTCCAGAAACAACAAACTATCTGGGCAATCACATTGACTGTGTACAGGACATGTCGACCACGGCAAGAGTACACTCATGGGCCGTTTGCTGTACGACCTCAAAGTCATCGACCAGCGATCAATAGACAAGCTACGGAAGGAAGCCGAGACTATCGGAAAATCGTCTTTTGCATTGGCCTGGGTGATGGATGAAACAAGCGAAGAAAGAAGCCGTGGTGTTACAGTTGATATTGCGACAAACTACTTCGAGACAGAGAAGACACGATTCACGATATTAGATGCTCCTGGCCACAAGGACTTCATCCCAAACATGATATCAGGGGCATCGCAGGCCGACTTCCCCGTCCTGGTGATTGATGCCAGCACCAACAGTTTCGAGTCTGGCCTCAAGGGTCAAACCAAGGAACATATCATGATTGCACGAAGCATGGGCATGCAACACATTATCATTGCTGTCAACAAGATGGACATGATTGGATGGTCTAAATCTCGGTTCGACGAGATAGCAAAACGTATGACGGCGTTCTTGACTGAAGCAAGTTTCCTGGAGAAACGAATCACCTTTATCCCGCTGGCGGGTCTTACAGGCGAGAACGTCGTTAAGAAGATTGAAAACTCTGCTGCTCGTTGGTATACTGGCGAAACATTACTCGAGGCCCTAGAGCGCATCGAAATACCACAACGTAACCTCCAAAAATCACTTCGCCTTTCTGTCGCCGATGTATTCAAAGGCGACATGCGCTCACCGCTCAGCATATCCGGACGAATCGACTCTGGAACACTACAAGTAGGCGATGTAATCCTCGCGCTCCCCGCCAACGAAACTGCAACTATAAAATCCATCGAAGTCCAAGACGCCCCTGTAGACTGGGCAGTCGCAGGCCAAATCCCCACACTACACCTCACAGACATCGACCCTGTACATCTCCGCCAGGGCGACATTATCTGCACCCCCAAAGACCCAGTCAAACTCGTCAAGGCATTTACATCCAAACTCCTGGCTTTTGAACACGTGCTGCCCATGCCCGTGGAAGTTTTTCGCAGCACCCTCAACTCGCCTGGTAGTATCCGCACGTTGAGTGCCCGTCTGAACAAGTTCACAGGCGAGGTCATGAAGAAGAAGCCGAGGATTGTGAAGCCGGGTGAGGTGGCACGAATTGTGGTGCAGTTGGAGAGGGAGTTGCCGATTGAGGAGGGTATGAGAGTTGTGCTTAGAGAGAGGGGGAGGACGGTTGGTGCGGGGCTTATGGAGAATGTTGCTTAGTTTTTCTGGTATGAATGTTATGGGATTAAGGAGGGGGATATCGGGCGGGTAATTGTGATAAACTGTTTTTATGTAATTCTCCTTGTGCGGTAAATGAAAAAAGTGTACATTATGAATTGTTGCGATGTTGTTTGGTTTTTTTGGAGCATGTAAGTACGTCTTCCAGACTCACCTCTACAACTCATAACCTTCATCCCTACCAATCTCACCGTCTATCTGCCCACGGCGCCCTCGTACCCTGCTGTCCCTCCCCCGCACTACCACCATCCTCCTTCTTCCTCGCCCACGGTGCCGCCGTCCCAACTCCAGCCCCTGGCATCGTCGTCGGTGGCGGCGCAGGCGTCCTACTCGCCCACGGCGCCTTCGTAGGCTGATTGACTCCACTCGGGACGCCCGGACCCGCCGCTGCCGGTGCTCTCGCCCATGGCGCGGCCGTTCCCACTGCTCCACCCGGTCTTGCTGTCGATGGCATAGCCGTCGTGTCAGCGAGGGGGTCCCGCAGCGGCGGTTGGGGGCGCGGGGTAGCTGATGCCGAGGCTTTGGGCTGCGAGGCTGTATGGACTGTAGCTTGAATTTTGCGGGCGTTGGGGTCGGGGGAGAAGGAGAAGAGGGAGCCGAAGGGGAAGTGTTGGACTACGGGGAATTTGGAGAGGACTTCTGCGTTGTACATTTTGATCATACCCTGATTTCCTCTGTGTTAATTTCACTTTTGATTTCATTTTATGCCGTTTGCATTGGGTCTTGGAGGAGTAGATTAGAACGTACCTTGTTGATTTTTGCCCAGCCGGCTTTTACGCCGGACACGTCGTATAGGATGTTGCTGTGTTCCCAGAAGGGACCTTTTTTCACGTCGTAGATGAAGCCGATGGCGCTGAAGTACATGTTTCGTTTTCTTTCGCGCTCGACGGCTGGGGCTTTGGCGACGTCGCCTGGGTTTGGGGCTGCGGGGAGGGAGCCCTCTGCCGCGACGTCGCCGGGTGATGAGATAGCTGGGGAGAACTGGGCGCTTCCGAAGATGTATGGGAGGAATGAGTGGTCGTCTAGACCCCATACTCCATGTGATCCCGCGGGTTCAAGGGTGTAGGTCAAGATCAGACGCCGGATGAGAACGAGATAGGGTTCTAGGACACCGAGTACGATGCTGCGTTCTTGATCGCCATCCTGCGACTCGGGAAACGCACCAAGTTTCCATAGACAGCCGAGGAAAGCGAGGAAACTCAGCTCATGTCCCGTACCGTAGTCGAGGCGCTGCGAACTACCAAAGCTGCCGAGGAAATACGCTTCTAATTCACTTTTCGCACTAACATCTGATGTTGACTTGAAATTCAGCACATGTTGGGGAAGATGCTGATCCAGAAGCTCCGAAGCCCGTTCGCGAACAATATCGTACCATGTTCTGAAGCTGACGTTTCCGAAGCGACGGGGTCCCGGGTCCGGCGGTGCTTCATCGATGATAGACGTTAGGGCATCCAGGAGCTTGGCAAGGCTCTGTACGACGGGTGTATAGGGCACGTCTTTATCATTCAAAGTCCACTCTTTTGCTGTTTCCGCTTCTCCCGACTCTTTTGATTCAAGCTTCCGGGGTATCATAGCCGTGTTTAGCTGGAAAATGAAAGTCATGATGTCGGCGTATGCTCTGCTTGCCAAGAAAGCAGTGACGTCGTCGCCATCGTGGATGCGTTTTGCGGGCAGCGCAAACTCATGTCCAGAGGCTTTGTCGATTGTTTCTAGCACTGGAGCCTGGGAGGGGTTGGATGCCATGGCGGTTGAACTTTTGGATGAGGGGTTGTATGGGGATGCGGGCTGGTGCGGGCTAGTGCGGGCGTTTTCGGGAAACGATGATGCCCCCAAAGATCGGAATTTAAAACTGCCAAAACTAAAACCATAAATTCCAAACTAGAGATCTATAACTACTATTTTTTAGTTTTACCGGTTACATAAGAGCCTATTAAATTCGCTTTTTCTAGCGGTGTGCTAGCGTAGCACTAGTGCAGGGGAGTCTGACCTTGCTGATTCAACGCACTAGTGTACTTACAACCCTTCCTGTTCACTATCGTTGGATGCCGCTTTCACTTCAGGGTGGAATGTGTGTTTGAGGCAATTACAAATGGCACGTCTAAAGCAGCCGCCAAGGGTAAGCGGTAAGTGAGAAGCTCTTTCTGGGGCTCAGCGCGCACGCGTTGATGTTAAGACGTCGTCGGCGCGAAACCGGAGTACCCTGTCCCAAGAGCGCATCTATAGGGACGAAGATCTTGGTTCTGATGGGGTATGAGCTGATAATGGAATAGCAGCGGCTGAATCATCTCCACAGCCCAGCTCTTCCCATGCTTCCGACTTCTTTCATCCTGCGGCAGATGATCAAGCAGCCATCGAACAGCTCCACACAGAATCTCTCGCGACAGACGCACCTCCACTACCTCCTCCACCCGCCGTATTCATTGGCGTAGAGCTCCTCAATGCTGCACGAATAGATCACCGACGTAATAGCCCTGTGATTGGCATAGCGCGTAAGAATCGCGCCGGTAAGCTCAAGCGGGCGAGCTTGATCCCCGAGAGCGCTAGGACGAACCTCGCTGTACGAGGTGATGTATATGAGATAGAGCTTAGCCCGGAAAAGGGGAACTACGCGCTGCCTGAGAGGGTGAACAAAAAGCCGCTCAAGATTGTAAAGAAGAAGCCACACGTACTCGCGAAGCTTAGTGTTGCACCAGATGTTCCGTCTAAGCTGCCAGTGCGCGATCAGGACAGGCCGCAAGTTGACCCAGAAGGGCCGGCAGAGGATCTGGCTTCTACCCATCCAGACATGCGCTCTTCTCCACCCCAAGTTGCCCCCGTTGGAAGCGACAGCATTGCCATTGATACCGTAACAGAGGAGATCCTTTCGAGTAAAGCAAATTCCCATGCTAATGCACCTGGGGATGTAAGAATCGAGGAGAGCCTTGACAGTGGGAAACCCAGATGCACAGCAGTCTTCTACAAGTACGATAAAATTACTGGACCAGCTTATAGGCAATGCTTACGTCCGGGCACCGGACAGACCGACGATGGTTTCAGATGCGGAATTCACCTTGGTAAACCCCCTGTTGTTCGTTGTGGAGAGATGGCCATTTCCGACAACGTTACCACGCAGTGCTACAGGGCTGCTGCCAAGGTAACCGCCAACGGCCCACGATGCCCGACTTGTATCGAACAACAAGGTTATGAAACAACGCCACGTGATAAGCGAAAGTCAGCACCGATTCATCAAGAGGACCAACCTATGAAGATTCAGAGGAGAAAAAGTGAACCTGCGGGTAAGCCTACATCCTCAGAAAAGACCAAGAACCAAGTGCGGGATTTGCAAGAAGAGAGCTCAAATCCAGCACCAGCTAGGAAACGGGGGAGACCGCAAAAAGACGGTAGCATTGCCTCTACCGAACTAAACCACCAGCTCCCGACAAGAACACGCAAGAGCGGATCCCGACCAACGATATCGCAGGAAGTTTCAGTAGTGCCTGGAGACCTGCCTAGTGATGGAGACCCAGAGTATGCTCCAGACGACGAGGAGAGTGAGCATAACGTTGAGCAGGATGAGGAAACTGGACGCGTGGGCCAACTACCTGAGAGCATTGATACAGTGTTTAGTTTCCTCGACCTTGAAGAGCGTGAAGGGACATGCCAGACTAAGCGCGCCAGAAAGATCTTACACGTGTGTGAAAGGTATTGTGCAAATTTCCAGGATGACACTCACTCAATCGACGCTGTTACGCAAAATGCCATGAAGATACAAGAGGCACTACAACAGACGCCTAAAGATTACAGTACTGAAATCGGAAAAAAACATCAACTTGTATTCAAGAGTGATGCATACAGCTTCATCTTTCGCGCTCTTACGCTATATCTTCGAGATTTGCACGATTGGCTAGTCAAAACATATGAGTCTGCAACAGAGTCTTTGGAAAGCTTGCGTGTAATAGCCCCATTGATGCAGGAGATTTTAGCATTCAATGATGCAATCAGGCAATGGCACGTCACTGTACCTCAGCGTCAAAAGGGTGATAGAGTAGTCAAGGATGTCCAAAGCCGACTTATTACGCCTCTGCGGCGGGTCAGTCAATCACTCAGTGTTCGTCTAAGCCAACTACAGGAGGGAGAGGAACGTTGTAAGCAATATGAGAAAATGGAAAGAAGGATGAAAGAACGCCGCGATGCACAGAGTGAACAAATTCGAGCTATCGAGGCAATGGAGGAACGGAAGAAGCGCTGGCAAGACCTTCATATCGTGCGAATGCAATGCGAACCCGATGTATACAGGCGGCGGAAGCTGTTCCACACCAGATTTGAAGATCTGGTGGAGAGAGATGCGAACGGTGTCATTTTCGAACGATTGCCGATTTTCAAACCCCGTTCTACTCCACCGCATAGCCAGGTTTCGGAGCTTGCGGATGAAGTGGAGTGGACCGAAGACGAAGAGACTGCTGTGCTCGAGGGCTTGCAGTATTGTGCGGGTGAGCAATTGCCATTCCGTATCAGAACATTGGGATGTTTTGCTGACGCTTTGTCTAGGCCCGCGCGTCTTTGAGAAGATATTCAAGACGTATTGTGACCCCAGGTCTTCGCATCCGCGCGGGGGCGACCTGCGTAACCGCAGTGTTGCAGAGATTATCTCAAAGGCCAGATGGATTCGGTCGACGATGTTGACCTTGCGTCAAGAAAGTGGCGAGCCGGTGGAGGAATGGGTAACTGGGATTCCGGTTTTACCGTAGTAGGTAGAGCTTCGGCCAGCTTTTGTGTCCTGTCGTTTTTTGGATCCCATAAGGTTTTTCAAAAGTGCTTCTTGCAAAGGTGGCTTTCCTGTTTGCTGGTAACGCTTTGATACCCCGGTGTAGTTTTAAGTGTAGTTGAACGTCTTGTTATTTACACAAAAGCTGATACAGTTTGTTCCGAATGCCATGCATGTCTACTGATTGGTCTGAGATGCTATATGTCCCGTTCCTGGCTAGACGTGTTGATTTATATTTTCTTTCCTAAAAAAACAGTGCTGTAACCTCTACGTTGTAATAGAATTCGCTTGGGATCAGCCATGTGACGAATGATGGTGATGGAAATATACAAGCATCAAGCAAAAGCGTTCTATGCAGATTTTCGAAAAAGCACCACTCTTTGTTATGGTGAGAGAGGAGATCCATTCTGGAAAAGGCTTGTAGGAGCCTTGACAAGTTCATAATTTACAAATCCAGCATATGCATGTCTCGTAGGAATCTTCTACCCTCTAGCTCTCGATTGATTTCGCTGCCTCCTCAAGCCCCTCCTTGACATCTTCCTGGGTACCATCCTTCTCCACATATACGCTGGTCATAACCGCATTTGTGCCGCCGTTGTCCTCCTTCCACTGGTTGATAGGAGCCGGAATCTTTCCAGCATTGGGCTGTACATGGAATTTGTTGTAAACAACGCCGTCTTTGTTGATAATCTCGCCTTGATAGTTGTTCTGCACCCCGAAACGCTCTTGGTCTCTCATGTTCTGAGGCCAGTCTACGTTGCCTTTGCTAACGGATACTTTGGTGAACTTCTTCCACCTATTGCTTTCGATAATCGTGGCCGTTGCAGCAGCGAAACACTTCTTCATCGTGGCTGTCGAAACTGGGGTTTGAGTGTTAGCGATTTCTTAAGTTTTTTTCTTGTTCTAGGCTATCCTCTTACACTTGATGCAGGCTATATAGGAGCCGATTGTGAGGGATCAATGAAATTTGGATTCTTACTCGTGATATAGTGGGATGTGTCGAGTTTGGGGCTGGCTAGGACAAAACGTAGCTGCTTACATACCGCGGTGAGAGATCAAATCTGGTGACAAAGACAGCAAACGCTCCAGGGCACGTGCTTCACCAGAAGTGCCTCTATCACTGACGCATGACCTATTAGAAAGTACCGAGCGTTTGATTTACCGCAGAAGTTTCGTCAGTTCAGGATTCACTTGTCTTTTTCTGTTCCAGGCGCTTTGAACAATAGCAAACAGGGCACTTTATGAGGGGGTTCTGATTGTAATGCGGCGCAAGCTTGCATTCTTCAAGGAGCATATTATCTGCATCCGTTGAGACTAGCCCTAGTGTATCAGCGTGTAGTATTTAGGCAGCATCTCTTACTGCAATTATTCAGTTTTTTTGACACATGATACCATTGTTGAATCAGAGTCTAGCAGCAGGAGCGGCTACAAGATCTCGGTACATCAGCTCCAAACTCTTGAACTAATACGACCTCACGTTATCTGCATTGTATAGCTTTCTTTCCCTTCAAGACTTTATGAAACTCTGAGAGCGTCTCACGTAGTGATAGGTTCAATGCTTTTAAATACATTTATGACATTTACTTGTAATATCCCACAGAATGAATTTGGTCAGGTTTCCAAGACTCACTACGTAGTTCCGACATATAGAACAAGTTGTCCACATGACCGGTCTTCAAATTGAATCGTTTTACCCATGGCTTACCCCGTCATTCGGCTAGTTCTCACTATCTTTTGTGGCGCGACTGTCCTCCCAACCAGTGAACGGTGTTTGGATACCCTGGCGCGTGCCAAGGGTGGTCCAAGCGCATCACACATATCATCGTGCTCTATCATCCGCCGCGGTGACACTCTCCATCTTTGCGTCACCTCCTTCAACTATGGGATTACAGTTCTCTCAGAACGCAAAGATCCGTCTAGCTTTTGTATCTTTCACTCGCCCTCGTCCACGAATACATCACTCCATTGAGGTTAGGAGTCTTGTCAGACACTTCACTCATTCTCCAGCCGGATCTTTGATGGAGTCCTCTGAACTATTTGAGAACACGTCGGGACGATGGATGTTCGTTTATTCTCCCCTTCAGGCTCAAACTCAAACTAACTAAGTGGAAGATGGAACGATTCTTCCAAGCATGCTGGAAGAAGACGTGCTTTCAATGTATCCGAATTCAAGCGTTTGGCTGCCGCCGCCGTGAATCGGAATGCGAAAGATGTGGCTCGGTTTGAGAAACTTAGTAAGGGAGGCTTCAACCGAACCTTTCTCATCACTATGTGTGACGGGTTTCAGTTGGTCGGACGCATCCCTTATCTCTCTACCCAGCCAAGGCATCTGGTTGTTGCCAGTGAAGTCGCAACGATGAACTTTCTCCGTCTACATGATATCCCTGTACCCAAGATCTACGATTAATCAACTACGCCAGATAATGGGGCTGGGACTGAATACATGTTTATGGAGCTGGCCCGTGGGAAGAACTTGGGCGACATCTGGTTTGACCTGTCGATAGAGGCCAGAATCACTGTCGTCACTAGCCTTGTCGAGTTAGAGTCTCGATTGTTCTCTCTTACCTTTCCAGCAAGTGGTAGTCTGTATCACACCAAAGATATACAACCTGGGCTCGAGAGGGTCGAGGTGCCGATCGCGGATTCTGCATACGATGGTCACTTTTGCATCGGCCTTGATACAAGTCTTAGCTTTTGGCGTGGAAAAAGGCTTAACATCTAGACCAACTGTGGACCATGTACGTATCAGTCCTGGCTTTCCATATAACGAATCAGATTGTTGATATGCCCGTAATGATATCATTCTTTGTCTATAGTGCTGACAGAATTCTCAAAAGTCGCAGATCCAGCAGCCGCTCTTGAAGCTGGGGCCAGAAAAGAGATTGCATATCTAACAAAATTCGGTTGACCGCTCCACCCCTTTCAACGTCTACACCGAGAAATCCATGGTTACCAGGCGCAATCCCCCTCTGAACATCTGAGTAACTTGGAAAAATACCTGCAAACTGTGCCTTACCTCGTACCAGACGGCAACAGTACCCTGGTCCGCCCGACAATGAGACATCCTGATCTTCAGCCGAATAACATTTTTGTAACAGATGATTTCAGGATCGCAAGTGTGATTGACTGGCAGCACTGCACAATACTTCCACTTTTCCTGCAATGCGGTATCCCCAATAGTCTTCAAAACTACGGTGACAGCATCTCCGAATCACTTACATTTCCTGAACTACCGCCGAATTTCGACAAGCTAAGCGAAAACGCACAGTTTCGGGAGACAATGCTCTTACATCGGCGTCAAGTTCACTACTTCTATGTCGTGGCGACTGCCTCATTGAACCCAACGCATTACGATGCCTTGACCGCCAACTTTAGCATATTGAGACGTAAACTCTTCGTTCACGCCAGTGACCCTTGGCAGGGCGATATATTTAGTCTCAAAAATGACTTGATCGATTTGACGAAAAACTGGGACAAAGTCGTGGCCTCTCAGTCTAATACGGACGGCGAGACTAGGCATCCCTGTCCCATTGCCTTCTCAGAAGACGAGGTGGCCGAATGCTTGCGTCTGCATGACGCGCAAGTAGATGCAGATGAATCGCTTCGGGATTGTAGAGATCTTATCGATATTGGGGTTGAAGGATGGGTGCCTGCTGAGCTGTATGACGAGATAAAGCAGCGAGAACAGGAGTTTAAGGCCGAGGCGCTTAAAGCTGCAGAGTCTGAGGAGGAGCGACAGCAAGTATTCGAGCATTGGGTATTTGATGATTTTGATGAGGAGGAGTATTCGTAGGAACGTCATCGGCTCTACGTAGGGTCTCTAGAGTGCCATTAGGAGTTGCATCCCGAATCGCCTCATCAGGCTGTGGCTGTTCATCAGCGAATGCATTGGGCATGGCCAGAGCTGTTGTTAGCTCTTTCGATGTCCTTCCTGAGTAGTTAGAATATCAAGTAGAATGAACGTGAAGCTCACTCACGTACCTATACATAGTATAGATCTGACAGTCATCGCCTTTCACATTTTACCACAACTACTCTGGCAATCCGGTGATTGGAGCTTTCACTTCACTCGCTCGCATACAGTATCCATGACGTTCACCAGATGTGAGGTAGTTTCAGCCGTAGCCCCACATTCCCATAACTGATATTACTCTCCTCCTTTCGTCTCTTTGCCCAATCCATCAACTCTTCAACTTTCTCAACCCGCCGCAAACGATAAAGAGCGCGCTAGAGTGACGCAAAAATCTTGTTTTCTATCACCCTACCAACTATACATTGTGTAAAACTACAGCCTCTTCTATACGTAAGTGAGAGCATGCTTATACACAGCAAGGCTGATATCCCTCGTAGTCACAACTCATCTCTTATTACAAAAATGACAGCCTTCAAGAGCACCGGTAGCGAAGTTGTGAACAAGAAGATGAATGGGCTGAAGGAGTACAAGAGGGCCCAGAAAGAGAAGAAACTGGTACAGCGCGCCACCGCCGCCGCCGAGCAGATCAAGGCGACGAAATTGTCCTTTACTTCCGTTAAGGTGGTTCGACTGGGTGACGCTGAGCCCAACAAGGCTGCGTCCAGCAAGGCTGCTTTGACCCCAAAAGACACACTGAACACCATTGCGCTGCGCAAAGCCTTGGAGCTTGCGTTGTATGAGGATATGGAGACACCGCGCCAGATGCTTATCCGGTGCGACTTCAAGGCTTACATGGATACCGAGTTCCACGACAAGGACGCTGAGTTCGACTATTTGGCACCGCATACTATGTATCTCGACGACAATGAATTTGAGACAACCATCCGCACAAGTGGTCTCAACACACAAGACGGATTGTTTGCCCATAAGGAAGAGCTGTCGCCATTGGAGCAGGTTGAGACTGAGAAGAACGTCGCCCTCTTGCATCCTGCTCCCCAAGCACGCCGATTCGACTCTCGTTTCTTCGAACACCTACTTTCTGCTGCATCCGCTAGGGAGGAGGTCGTTACTGCCAAAGTGCAGGACGCCACCAAGTTTTCGACTCGTTCTCAACCACCCGAGTCTATATCTACACAGGTGCCACATGTGATGGATTCAGCCATCATCAGCCACAAGATCAAACAACAGACACCTGTAAAGCTGGGAAAGGTTGTCACCAAAAATATCCAAATGGCGAGTAAGCGCGCGAAGGGCACTGACCTAAATGACAGCCTCTCAAGCCAAGCCTCTACACTCGTTTCGACGCCAGACTCTTCGCCCACCAGCACTCATCGCTCCAGCATCTCTTCATCGGTCGGGTTCAACGCTTGTGTATATACGCCTCCAACACCTCAACTAACTTCTGCAACTTCAGGTTCCTGGGGCCATTGCTCTTACCCTAAGCCTGGCGATATTGCTGACTGGAGCCTTCTGGGTTTGAGTTCGAGGATGTGAGCTAGGGTTCTGGATGAACAGGGAAGGGGTACTCGGATCTGTTCTTTGGCCAAGAACAGTGGTTGTCTATGTTTCCATTCATGTATCTGCAACAGTCGCATGTGAGGGAAAGGTTTAGTGCGGTCACAAAAAGGGTAGAATTTCACTGAACTGTGTGGACGATGTCTCCTTAGTTAGCATGGGGTGTAATGTGCAGATGAAATGTCAGATGATATAAAACAAGGGCGAATGCCCTAGCAGTGACGTTCGGTGGAGAACAGAAGCGGTCACGCAGGGACTGAGCAAGTGCGGGGGATGAATTGTGGAGCTTGGACCGGTCAAGGGTTGCTGCAAGTGCTAGTGCATACGTAGTATGTAATTCGGGTCAGGTAGCGATCATTCCTCTCCACCACACATGTCCACTTCACGATATTGCTAGCACAGGACGTATTCAACTCGCTATTACTAGATATTCTTTCTAGCACCACGACTCGCTGTTGCACGCAAATACACACACTCCACACACATCATGCTCAAGTCAAAGTGGGCAACACAGCCCGACGAGGCAGACAAAACTCCAGTGCCAGTCGCCGACAAGACCCCGCCAAAACCACAACCACCGTCTGAGCCAGCAGCACCAGCACCAGCTCAGGTTAGTCATGCAGCGGTATGTGGTATCTGATGCGACTGTTGTCGTTTCCCTTTCTATCATACACATTTTGTGTTCCTGTCCACGAAACTGTCCTAACAGAATGCCAGGTTGTCAGCGCGTCCTACGACCCCGCCTATGACGACCCCTCAATAGACCCATTCGCTCAAACTGCAAGCACCGACGACCTATTCTTTGACGACGATATCACGCCTATTGCTGAGCCAGTCGTCGAGGCAAATCCAGCAGAGCTACAGCCTTCCGCCCCCGAGTTTGTACCTGAAGAGCCAAAGCCACCTGTCGCACCACAGGCGCATTTGGCGCCGCAAGCCTCAAGAGAGCCCAGGAGCAACGATAGAGGAGGCCGCGGCCGTGGACGAGGAAGGGGCCGTGGGAGGAGCCGTGGGGGCCATAACACTGATATTCGGCTCGAACAAAACGACAAAAAGGCTGTCGAGGCGCCAAAAGAGGCGGAGCCCGTGACTGCAGACAAGGCCGCTCCAGAAAATGCCGACTCTTCATCCGCTCCTCCATCTGCTCCCACAGAACCAAAAGAAAAGCCAACCCACTCTGTGCGCGGCGACAGGACACTGACTGGTGGCGCCGCACGCACACGCCTGACCGAGGATGAATTGAACGCTAAGCTTGCCAACATGCGCATCAAGAACGAAGCTCGCCAGACCGCCCACGCTCGCGCTGAAGCCGACAAGGGCAATTTTGAGGCTCGCGAAGCGGTTATGCAGCAGCAGGATATAGAGCGTAAGAAGGCACTAGCTGAGAAGCAAAAGGCCGAACGCCAGAGCCGTCAGCAGATGATGGGCGAGCGCGAGAAGAACCGACAGCGCAAGTTGAAAGCACAACAGGGCAGAGAGTGGGACTTGGAGAAAGAGGATGGTTTTTCAGGTATTGGAGACGACAAGCGCAGAGGTGCTGCCAGAGGTGCTCACGGCGGTATTGCGCCCTCACGACCAGCGAACAATGGATTCAACGGCGACGATTATAATGAGCCTATGACGCATTCTGGCCGGGGACGTGGCAGAGGCCGCGGTGGAAGAGGAGGCCGAGGTGGACGTGGCGACTATGACGGAGCGGGATCAAGACCAGCAGAGCAGAAGAAGTTCGACAATCCCCCGCCTTCTGCCGCAGACTTCCCAGAGCTTCCTCCAGCAAAAGGCAAAGCCGTTGAAACTAAGGACCCCGAACCCGAACCCGAACGTCCAACTATCCAGAAGCAAGACTCCTTCGGGTTGCCATCGCCAATGGAAAAGGGCCGTAGCTGGGCTGATGAAGTAGGCTCGTAGAAAGAGCTTTTCCGGGACGAGACCACCGCAAGGGAAATGCCAAGAGTATACATTGTAGATGTGGAAATCCAAGAATCGGATATCACAGCCATAGTGGCTGTACCAGAGACGAGACCTGATACCGGTTATGAATGTGACATTGACACCAATGGCAAGGATGGCGAGACAAAAGGGCAAAGGACGATAACACTGTCCTCTGATGAGTCGGAAAGAACAGATCAACGTTCTGAGTGGGCCGAAAATGGATACGGTTCTTCTTGCGAATGCCCTTCAACACCGCCATTCGCATCTCTGCGTGGCGGAGGCAGTTCAGAAGGTGCCAGTGAGGAAGATTCTCCAAGGTATATCTCCTTGCAGTCTTTCTTACTCCATTGTGAGAAAGCTTCTGACCTCTGTAGTGTTTCGCGTCAATCACCCAACGCTGCATCATCCCCCCATGTGCTAGGTTCATGTGCCATGTCGACACCGAATATGTCACTTCATACTACCTCGTCGCTATATACAGCTCTCAATGACTCCTTTTCACGTACGCCTTCATTCATGTCATCACCTATGTCTTCCATGTTTGCGTCTCCAGATACAACAAAACGCTGCTCATCACAGCATGCTCGAGAACTACCACTACCATCAGGGCGCACTCTACCTGATCCAGAAACTGGTTCTCAGACCAGCCATTAGCACGGTGCGGCTGAGGCGAATGAATTGGATCAACCAAACGTGCAACAGGGAAATTCGAGAAGTTTACAGCGGCAAGATGACTATGGACTGGTGCAAATCTCACAAGCAGAAGTAGCAACAGGGAGGCGCGCTCAAAGCCCGGATCCCAATCAAGGGCCAAACGATTCCCATCCGGCCTACATGACAGACGAGGAATTTGATGCTCTTCCGTGTTGGTCGGATGTCGAAGGTGATCCAACATACAACACCAGATATCATCTGAGACACGCTACAAGCGATTCAGTGCGTCCAATTGTCCATGCACAAGCCTCTTTATCAGGGAAGTTCAGACCGACGCCCCTAAACATTCCGCCTGGCTTTTCACCAACTCCGCAATTTATCGGGGCATGCGATACTGTATGGTTTTCATCATCAGACGAATTTGTCTCAGATAACCAAGATGAGCAGCCGCTGCCAGACAGGGCTTCAGCCACAAGCGTCTCCACAAGCCCGCGTTTGATTGGAACCATAGATGGAACTTCCTTCTTGGAGCTGGTCGATACAAGACCGCACTCACATGTTGACCATGTACAGCATTTGGCAAGGCGTTCGAAATCTATGCAAGATAACCCGAGTGCCCTTATCTCGTCTAACACTGATGAGTGGAGCGTTTACCATATCGGGGATAGAATGTTACCACGAAACTTACTGCCTGAGCCCATTGCAAAGACTGAAAGTGGCCAAAGGGGAGCATGGATTGTTACTCCGGGTCGGCCATCAAAATCAATTTCCGAAATCGCCAGAACATTGTCTAGTCGCAGAGCTGAAGCTCCTTCGACATCACACCTGAACGAAATCGGCCCTGAACTGGATAATTTGACACTCACTGATTCAGTACAACTTCGTTTACGAGGCGGAGCCGATTCAGAGGATGAAGAATACTCTGAAAAGAAATACGCACCGCCTTCATCTACACTCAGCTCGCTACCTTCAATAAGATCGACATATCCTTCCCCTCAAGAATGGTTACAGCGCCTATCGCTTCAAGGTGACCACGCAACTACGCCCTTCGATTATTCGCGTGCTACAAGGATACTGGGTCTTGAACAAGGAGCATCACCTGGCTTCGTATCATCAGCCACTTTGCAGGTGCCTGACTCTTCAAATACGCGTGGATCTGGTGTATGGTCGTCTTCCGAGACCTTGACAAATCAATCTCTACAGGAACGCATGCCAAACTATTCGCATTTACATCCATCACAACCCCGTTCATCCGCTGGCGGGGAGGACGGCGAACTTAGGCGTTGTCCCATGGTGATTCGCGAGGAACCTCCTCCTGTTATTCGAGTGATCCAGCCCCGATCAAGCGTATCCCAAACTGTTAAATCCAACTTTCAGGAGCTGCTTTCAGATAATGATCTCGGCCCACCCTACCCAGGCGACGGTGGCCGTCTTCCCGCGCCACCACCTCTGGTAGATGATTCTCGCGATCCAGACATGGACCTTGCCCCCCGCATCGTCATGAATCCTAGCATGCCCACGCGTTCAAATTTACCGGTCGAACGATTTCTGTAGTTCCGAAATCCGAATGAGCCTATGAGAGCAAGGCAGAGCGAGGAGAATAGACAGCCGGCAACGACGCCGGTCAATCATCAAACGACGCAGGCCAACAATCAAAGACGGGACCCTGGTGAAGCATCTAAGCTATGCGACTGCTGTGGAGATACTGCAGGGATGTGGTGGGATTGCTGCAGTTTGAGTTTTGAAGCGCTAGCTGGGTTGTGTGTTATCTTGTGACATGTGCTCGGTATTGATACAGTCAACTTGTTTTGTTGAATCAGAATGCTGCAGAGAATAATCACTACTAGCATTGTATACAGTATTCATTTTTAATACGATTTTGGTGTCGATTATATCGCTTCCGATGATGCTTGCAATACGTGATTCCCCTTTTCTCTCATCACTATCATCATCAGACTCCCTTGTACACCAGCAGTCATTCAACCACCAGCACGAAGAACGGTTTAGAAAAAAGGGTTTAGACATAGATAAGTAAGGCACAAGCTGTGCAAAATCGCCATTAATCTCCACGTACGCCCCACTATGATGATAGAGAAAATAATGAGAGATACGTATCTAGCATTACTACATACAACTCCATGCCCCGCTTCCCCCCAAAAAAAGAGGGGGATGTGATTCAGCGAGGGGAAAGAGAAACGGATTCGCACACCCATAGAGAACCATGATAAGCAGCCTTTGAAAACCACAAGAAACAGCAAGTTGATCCCCTCTAAAAAAGGCGTGAAATTTTTTGTTTGTGAAGCTTACAAAAAAGACAAGGAGGGAGAGGAAGAGAGGGTTCAACGTCGCATCATACCCGTCGTTAAAAAAGCCGTTAACACGAAACCGAAAAAGAAACAAGTGGGGGTATCAGAGTCGGTGAGAAGATAGAGATGCGGCCGCCGAGAAAGAGGGAAGAGTCTTATGACTCGCCTCCAGTGGATGCTGCCGCACCTTCACCTGCACCGCCCCTGAACGAACCCCTTCCTCCTCGACCGCCACGAGCGCCTCGCTCTCCACCTCGTCCACCCCGCGAAGAGCCACCACGACCGCCACGGCCACCGCGACCACCTTCGCTATCAGAAGCACCTCCACTTCGGTAGCCGCCACCTTGAACACCGCCCCGGTTGCTGGCCTGCCAGTTACCAGCACCGTACCTGGGTTGGTTGCTGCCTGGGCCGCGTTCGTTATAGATCTTGACCGTCTTGTTCTCTGGTCCTCCCCTAGCATTCCTGACATCATCCGCAACGCGACGAAGAGCGCCATGCATATCTTGCGATGTGGGGAAGTGGGCGACAAAGAAATGTTTAATCTTCTCAATCTTCTCAATCTTGGACCGATCTTCCTCCGCTAGCAGGCTCTTGGCTTCCTCTTCGTCCTTGACACCGGCGATGAACAGTCCTTTGCTCTCTTTCCGCTCGACGGGTTCCCTGGGTGCTGGCGATGCGGCTTTCTCTGGGGCCGCGGTGCCATTGGGCTTGGCTTCGCTAGGAGCCGACTTCTCAGCTCCAGCATTGGAAGCTCCGTTGTTGGCTGGGGGTTGTGGGGTGGCGGCCTTGATGGGCTCCTTAGGGGTAGCAGCGCGTACGGGCTGGGTGCCGCTGTTGGGTTTCTGCTGAGGAACAGGTGGGGTGGCGACCGCTGGGCGAGGTTGCTGAGGGGCGCTCGTGGGGGGACCACCTTGACGTCCAGGAACAGGGGATGGCTGAGCAGAGGGGCTGGGGTTTACAGCAGCCGGAGGGCCGCTTGAAGTGTTGGCGGCCGCAGGCTGAGTCTGGCCTGGCGCGACCTTGCCACCTCGGTGGGCAAAGTTGAAACCCTGAGCCCTCATCTCAGTACCAATTCTGCCATTGTCAATATCCAGGACAAGCCATCCATAGGCAGCATCCGCAAGGTTGAAGTTCCACATGTTCTTGAATGCACTCTCATCGATAACGCCGCTTTGGGGGCCTGGAGCAGGACCGCCAAAAGGATTGCCGCCGTTGGCCACTGTGGGCATCTTGTTCACTATTTCAAGTGCCAGAGCGAGGAGGCGCTGCTGGGACTCGCTGTCGGCGACAGCAGGCTCGACTTCAGTTTTGACTGTATCCCAAACATCGTTGAACGAAGCCTTGGAAGCGGCGAGCTTTCCGCGGTAGTGGTCAAGGGTTGGGTTGACGCTAAACTCATTGTAGGAGCTGCCGTAGCGGAAATGCAGACCAGCAGAGATGGAGAAGTCGGCTTTCAATGTGACAGACAGCTGGTTGAGCAGACCTTCACGCGCGGGGGAAGCATGGGTGACGAATATGCGGGTCTCGGTCGGGTCGTATACGCGGTTGGCCGTGTCGACGAGTTCGCCCATTTGCAGCAGGGTGGTCCACATTGTGCCCTGTCCACCTGCAATGGTAGTCCTGCCTTCGCCGTTGTCGAAGAGCTTGTGCATAACGACAGCACCGCCGAGACCGAGTAGTCGCAGCTTGACACCACCGACGTCGAGTAGCCGTGAATGCGCCTCATCGATGATGTGTAGGTTGTCCACCTTGTACTCACCCGACCGCAGCTTCTCAAGGACTTGGACATCTTCGCATGCTCCCCACACAGTGTATACAGGCACGTTTAGTGTGAAGGTCTTGTTTAAGAAGAGGGGCAATTCTGAGAGGGGCAGGTGTTCTCTTGCGAAGCGCTCCTTGATGGGAGGCTGAGGCGGTGCCGAGGCAATGGAGCGCTTGACCGTGTCTGATAGGAGCGGCGAGTACTGGGCTACGTGCTTGAGAGTCCTGGACCAGTCAGCTCTGAAAGAGGGTGATTGAGTACATGCGGGCACCTACTTCTCGGCAATGCGATCCAGCGAGCGGTCATCGTAGAAGCCGAAATCGCCAGTGTGGATGATGTAGTTTGCGCGGGCATCGGCGGCGAGCTGGTTCAGCGATTGCAGGTTTCCTTTACAACGTCAGTATATGCCATTGCACCCAAGACGAAGGTTGTACCCACCTCGAACATCGGCAATGCAGAGAACTCGTACGCTTCCTTGCTGGATCACGCGGCCCTGGTTGGGAAGCAGCGGGACAGCTCCAGGCGCTGGGCCTGAGGGGACACCAGGAGCGCCGCCGTTAGGAAGGTAATTGCCTGGGTAGGGGCGCGGCTGATTGGGAGCTTGCTGGACGAGGTCAGCATCGATGTCACATGTGGCGGTATCAGCGCGGGAGTGCCTGACGTACTGAAGCCATGGAGTCGGAGGCGGAGGGGTCAGGTAACGTGTCCGAGTGAGGTCTGCAGACGTGGTGATGGGGGGAGGGCGCGGGCGGGGCGGGGTAGGGAATTACAATGTAGGGACTAAGAGAGAAGAATAGTAGAGAAGGCCTCCTCGTTTGTGATGGCAGCGGCGAGTTTGTGCTGGCCGCTGTTGCTCCTTCTGTTTTTACTAACAGCTTTCCGCCGCACAGACCCCAGCCTAGCGCGTCCTATCACCTTGTCCTGCACCTGGCTGGACCTCCCTGTGCCTTCGACTCTCTCTTTCGCGTCCAGCTCTGCATACATTCTCCATGTCTGTCTTTGCCTCCTTTTCTGCTCTTTGCAATCTCATGGCCATTGGCGCCTCGTAGCCCCAGTCTGCTTGTCTCTTGTTCACTGAGCGCCGCCTCATTGTAACCATGCTGCTCGTCATGGCTACAGCATGGCAGCCAGCCATTTCCACCCCCTCTCCCGATTGAGCACCAAAACCCCCCATATCAGCGCCACCGCACCGGCAATTCACCCTGCTCATACTACGCGCCACTCAGCATGCAGCATTGATGTTGGTGCAGCTGAGGCGCCTTCGCTCTGAGCCCCAGAGCTGACCTTTCTGTCTCTTTTAAAATTTGCTCGAGTGGCCGGTCAAAGCTTCATCCAGCAAAGACAGGCCGTTGTGCTGCACAATGGAACACGCAACCAATTATGCTTTCTGCGCACGCACTTGAGCTGCATACTGCACGCAAGCAGCCTCCGGAGGAAGCCATAGCTCCTCCGGCCGCGCACTGCCGTCATTGGCTGCCAGCCTGGCTTACCTAATTCGCTGGACCCTGAGACTAGCGTAAAAAAAGTTCCAATCCCCACCTCAAAGAATGTGCGGCCCAGCGCTCTTCCTCCACAACTGTCAATATTGGTCTGCGCTGTTCTGCGAGAGACCACCCTAGGCAAGCTTTCTGCATACTTACACTGTGAGAGCGCCGCCATGGACGAGCAACAGTTTGTCCAACTCCTCGAGGGCCTCTTGGAGCGTAAGTAGCCTTGCCCCGCCTGCCCATGATTCTCGACTGACAATTTTCCAGCCAACACCGAGCGTGTCAAGGCCGCTACTTCCACTCTGAACAAGAGCTACTACAGCTCTCCTGCCTCTCTCAATGCCCTGCTTCAGATTCTCTGCGCCCACCCCAAGCCTGCGCTGCGCCAATTGGCTGCTGTAGAGGCGAGGAAGCTCGTGACAAAGCACTGGGCAAACCTCCCCGCTGAACAAAAGGCTTCCCTTCGCAACCAGATCTTTCAATTCACACTCAACGAAGATGTCGCCCTTACCCGCCACTCTGCTGCCCGCGTCATTGCTGCTATCGCAGCCATAGACTTCGAGGATGGCGAGTGGGCTGACCTCCCGGGATACCTCCAGCAGGCTGCTACCAGCGCCAACGTCCGACAACGTGAGGTTGGCACCTACATCATCTACACAACTCTCGAATCGGTGGGCGATTCCTTCCCTGCTAAGCCTGCCGATCTGTACAAGTTGTTCAGCTCCACTATCCAAGACCCGGAGAGTGTCGAGGTCAGAATCAACACCATGCTTGGTCTCAGCCGCCTGGCCATGCTCCTCGAGCCCGACGAGGATCCCAAGGCGCTTGCTCTATTTCAGGCATCTATTCCTGCCATGGTCAACGTTCTCAAGGCCACCGTCGATGAGGGTGATGAGGACCGTGCTATGCAGGCATTCGAGGTCTTCCAGACCCTTCTCGGCTGCGAGTCTGCACTATTGGCAAAGCACTTTGGTGACCTTGTCAAATTCATGCTGGAACTTGCCTCTAGCACAAACGTTGAGGATGACTACCGCTCCCAGGCTCTTGCCTTCCTCATGCAATGCGTCCGTTACAGGAGGCTCAAGATTCAGGGTCTCAGGATTGGAGAAGAGCTGACCCTCAAGGCTCTGCACATCGTCACCGAACTGGGCGATCTGTCAAGTGAGGATGAAGATGTCACTCCTGCCCGCTCGGCTCTTGGCCTTCTCGACATCCTCGCTTCCAGCCTGCCTCCAAGCCAAGTCGTTATTCCTCTGCTCAAGAACCTCGGCCAATACTTCCAATCACAGAACCCTGACTATCGCCAAGCTGGTATTCTGGCTTTGGGTATGTGTGTCGAGGGCGCACCTGACTTCATTGCCACTCAGCTTCACGAGATCTTGCCCATGGTCCTTCACCTGCTTGAAGACCCTGAGCTCAAGGTCCGGGCTGCTGCTCTCAATGGTGTTGCGCGCTTGGCCGACGACCTTGCCGAGGATGTTGGCAAAGAGCATGCCCGCCTCATTCCCGCCATGATCAAGAACTTTGACCTTGCCGCTGGCAACTTGCAAGCCACAGAAGATGACCGCAGTCTCTCAATCATCCGTGGTAGCTGTCACGCTATTGACTCCCTCATCGAGGGCCTGGAGCCTGAGGATGCTGCTACATACGTGCCTGAGTTGGTACCCCGTTTCAGCAAGCTTTTCCATCACGAGGACCTCAAGGTCAAGAGTGCTGCTATTGGTGCCGTTGGCTCCATCGCCTCTGCCGCTGAAAAAGCCTTCATTCCCTTCTTCGAACAGACCATGAATGAACTGTCGCCATACGTGAGGATCAAGAATAGCCAAGACGAGCTTGACCTTCGTGGCGTCACCTGCGATTCAATGGGCAAAATGGCCTCTGCTGTCGGCCCAGGGCCATTCGAGCCTTTTGTTCTGCCATTGATGGAGGCTTCTGAAGAGGCCCTACATCTCGACCACCCCCGCCTCAGGGAGACCAGCTACATCCTCTGGAGTACCATGGCCAAGGTCTACGAAGAACAATTCGCCAAATACCTCCCAGGCGCTGTTAAGGGACTCCAGGACTGCCTTGACCAAGAAGAGACTGGTCTCGATGTCGAGCTTGGGGAGGAGGCTGCCGATCTGGCCGGATCTGAAGTTGTCATTCAAGGTCGCAAGATCAAGGTTGCTGCACCCAGCGATGACGGTAGCGATCTCAACGAGGCTGCAATGGATGACGATGATTCCGATGACGACTGGGATGATCTTGAGGGCATCAGCGCCGTAGCCATGGAAAAGGAGATTGCTGCTGAAGTTTATGGTGACATCATCACTCACACTCGCCGTGAATACATTCCTTACATGGAGGCCACCGTCACCAAGCTGCTTGAGCTTGTAGACCACCCGTATGAGGGTATCCGCAAGGCTGCGCTTGGCACCTTGTGGCGAACATACGCCTGCCTCTTTGGCATGGCCGAGGGCGATGGTATGGCAAAGTGGAAGCCTGGTCTTCCTCTCGCTGTCGAACCACCAGAGGAGCTCCGCAAGCTGGCTAACCTCGTTATGACTGCAACCATGACTGTCTGGCAAGACGAGATGGATCGGTATGTATTCTTCAGTTTTTTTCAACTTTCTTTTTTTGCAAAGATGACACACTATTCGTTAATCCCAGCTCACTCCGATGCACAAAGTGCACTTGAGGTGAAAGCGATTCTACTTCTGAGCAACTTTTACATCAACTGGTTTTTCAGTCTATCTTCGAGAATATTGCTAACGCAACCCAGTGGCACTGTCACCGACATCAACCGTGATGTCGCAGCAACTCTCAAGCTGTGCGGACCTGCAGTGTTGCTTACCGAAAATGGCACGGTGGTACCCGACATGTGCCAGCATCTGCTTGCTGTCATCACCAAGCGTCATCCTTGCCAGCAAGATCTCGGCGACGATGCTGATGAGGACATCCTTGACGAATCCTCAGAGTACGACTGGCTCGTCATTGAGACGGCGTTGGAAGCTGTCACATGCCTATCCGTTGCCCTTGGCTCGCAGTTTGCCGAGCTCTGGAAGATGTTTGAGAAGCCCATTGTCAAGTATGCCAGCAGTCAAGATTCAACGGAGCGAAGTGCCGCCGTTGGTACCATTGCTGAGTGCGTTGGCAACATGGGTGCTGCTTGCACACCCTACACTAGCGGCCTACTCAAGCTGCTTCTCCACCGTTTGTCGGATGAAGATCCCGAAACCAAATCCAACGCCGTCTATGGCATGGGTCTGTTGTGCCAGATGACGACCAACGATGACGAGATTCTCAAGTCTTTGTCTAGCATCTTCTCCAAACTTGAGCCTCTGCTTGGAGCACAGGACCAGGCCCGTCTGCTCGACAACACAGCAGGCTGTGTTAGCCGGTTTATCAGCAAGCACCCCGGCAAGCTTCCCATTGCAGAAGTTCTTCCCCGTTTGGTGCAGCTCCTCCCCCTCCGCGAGGATTACGAGGAGAACAAGCCAGTATTCGGCATGATTGTCAAGCTGTACCAGCAAAACGAGCCCACTGTCCAGCAGCTCACTCCGCAGTTGATGCCCATCTTTGAGAAGGTGCTCAGCCCTCCTGAGGAGCAGCTGGAGGATGAGACACGCTCGCAGCTTGTTGAGCTGGTGCAGTACCTGCGCAAGTAAAAAATTTCGTGTTGAAAGAAGAGAAGGGATACCCGTCGAAAGACACCACTGATGAATTGGGCATGGAACGGCATTCGGGGCCATGACACGATAGAACATGACACTATATAGTATGAATTTATATTAGATTGATTACATGCTTTTTCTTACGCCAGTGTCCAAACAGTGTGTGATGTGAATGCAAGGCCAGAAAAGCAAAGCAAATCAACATGTCACATGACGACGGGTTTAGCGTTGGTGGTGGCTGGCGCGCATGATCACGATTGCGGACCGCTCTCGTTCCTGGGCGGCGTTGCGCGTTCCAGCCAAGCGTCCGGGGCAGTGACGTTCATGACGCACCCCAGACAGTGTTTAGCTTCGCGCTCATGCCTCAGCGTACCATCATCTCCTCCCCTCCCCAACAATAACCCGCCCACTATATTCTTCTCCAGCATCTGCTGCACTTTTAGTATTGAATCAACTTGTTATCATCTGACTATCCGCTCGCTAGGTCGACAGAGCTCCGCATTACCGCCGCTCGCATCTTGCCGAGCCGAGGAG